GATTGCTGCTCGGGAACTGTCTGGGTATTGGTCGGTGGGTGGTGAGCAATTGCATTGTGCATCACTTGCTTTGTATATTATTATCACTGTTATTACTATATTTTTATTATTACTACTACTATTTTACTTTATTTTGTTTCAATTATGAAACTGTTCTTATCTCAACCCAGGAGTGTTTCTCACTCTTACTCTTCCAATTCTCTCCCACATCCCACCGGGGCAGGGGGAGTGAGCGAGCGGCTGCGTGGTGCTTAGGTGCTGGCTGAGGCTAAACCACAACAGTACAGAAAGAGCAAGAATTTCATTGTCAGTGCATCTGCTTCAAAAAAAAATCAGTCACATTGAGAAAGCCTATTTTTTTTTTTTTTTACACATAAATTGCATATCCCAGCCTTCCGTATCACATTAACTTTAGAGACATTATTTTAAAAAATTCCTTGCTTTCTACCTTAAAATGGGAGATATATGTGCCAGCAGGATTGCAGGTTAACGGGTTAACGTCTTTCAGTCTCACAGTCCCACCACACCCCAGAAAGCTCACTCATGCAGCCTTCCCCCCAGGTCTTCTACCTGCATCCCGCACAGAAAGCATTCACGGTCACTGCTCGGGGAGATTAAGACACCTTTCAGCAAGCTGCCCATCTTCACGGCACAAACCATGCCGCAAAAAGGTGTCAATCCTGCCAAAGTCTTTAAGTATACGCTTACCTTCAGCAGTGCAAAGCACCACTATTTTCACCAGCCTGCTCTGCTGAGAACAAGCGAGCTGCCTGCATGCTGCATGCAGGTACAAATGCACCTGAGTCCCAACAGGGCTGAGCAGCCCTAAACGCACGGGCAGAGAGCCCGGGGGCTTTGCCAGCTGAAGGCGACTTACCAGCTAGCGAAAGCAGAAGCGAAGCGCAGAACAGACAAAGCTTCAGGGCTGACGCTGCGCAGCCAGAGCAGCGATTCTTTTAGGCGAGATGCTCCCGAAGAGGCCCTTGGAGCCAGATGGAATGAAAGGTACAAGGGCTGGGTCAGGTGCAAAAACCTACGCAACGGCTAGAGTCATTACTGCTTGATACTGCAAAACCTTCCTGCCCGTCCAGCTCGATTCCTGCTTCTCTTTGCTTGTTTGCAGCAGGATTTTTTGGATTTGGCTGTTTCTAGCTTGTTTCCCCAAGGAGTTTCATTTTAGACGCAGGCATTTGCGCATCTACCCCCAGCAACCAGTGCAGCAGCCCGCTAATACTGTTACAAGTACTGTCCAGACCCAACCTCATGGAGGAGTTTGCACCAGAATTTGGGTATTTCCAGAACAGGAACTGCAAAATACCCCCGCCTGCCTCCACTGCCAGATGGATAAACGCCCTGCATCTTTGCAATGTTATCTAGCTCTACGCCAAAAAAAGATCCCAAACCGAAATAAAAACCCCCACCCCTAACACGAACCCAAAAGCGTACTTTTACTTTCATTTACTTAGACCACCGCACCGTGCAAGCGTTTCACC